GGGGGGTGGGGGGAGAGCAGCTGAGGGAAGGGGCACTATCTGCCATGTGAAATGAGGGTGGGGAAGGAAGTCAGTCCCAGGCCATGCAGACTTTGCTGTTGATATTGGTACTTGTACACCTTGATCTGGTAAGTCCCTTAACCTGTCAAGATTTGGTTTCCCTTCTCTATAATGAGATGAGGGTAATAGACCTGGGCAGACAAGTTTGATGGAACAATGACACATATGCAGAATGTTTTGTAAACAACAAATTATTAATAGTAATAGACAATCAATCTAGCATACAGAGTTTAGTAACTCCAAATTACATAAGACACATCTCTCACTATATACCATAGAAAACATGCCAACACATACCCCAAACCCAGCAAACACAGAACTGAACACTCATAAATGTTGGTTGGACTGAACTGAAAGAGAAATGGTGGATGTCAGTGGCCCCAGACAGCGGGAGACAGTGGGGAGAAGGGAAGTGTTCCTACAGGAGTCATGGGGTTCAGCTTACGTGGGGGCCACAGGATAGCCTGATCTTACAAGTCGTAATAGATCAAACCAGCAATGTTCTGACCTCACAATGAGTCTGTAATTCAAATGCAATGAAGTTTCTAAATGAACTCATTCAAACCCAATTTCTTTTGCTTTAGTACATTTTAAACTCAATTTGATAGCTACAACTCACTACACAGCAAGGAAGTTGTTTACAAACCTTATTGCCTATGTACAATTTCCATCCCCATGGATAGTAAAAGAAAAAAACCTAAACCTTGGGCTGGCCAAGTAGCTCGGTTGGTTAAAAGCACGAGCTCTGAGCAACAGGGTCGCCGGTTCGATTCCCACATGGGCCAGTGAGCTGTGCCCGAGCTGAGCTGCCGACAGGTGGCAGGATGGCTCAGTGGTTAGAGCATGTGCTCTTAGCAAGAAGGTTTCCGGTTTGACTCCTGCATGGGATGGCCACCCGCAACTAAGATCGAACACGGCACCTTGAGCTGAGTGGTGGCGAGCTGCCGACGGGCAGCCAGATGGCAACTGGACTTGGAGCTGAGCTAAGCTGCACCCTCCACAACTAAGACTGAAGGACAACAACTTGGCTGTTCCTCTTCCCCAATTCCCCAACACTGTTACCCTTCCCTGATTCCCGAATAAAATCTTAAAAATAAACGAAAAACAAAAAACGAACCTTGTACATAGGATATTCATGAATATTGAAGACAGTATATCATTACATTGACCCAAAGAGAACCCTTATGAGCAATATATAGGTAAACCATTAACAATTTATTTGTATTTCTCTTCATTTGTTTAAACTGTATGGAAATTATATATACTGTAAAGAAAAATATTGAAAACTGGCTGAAAGTTATTTAAAATATTTAAAACAAAACATAATTTTCAATGCACAGGAAGTAGAAATATCATTAAGAAAATCAAGCATTAAACAGAAATACCTTCTATTTCTACCCTTGTTGTTGAAAAGTCCTCTAAATTGTTTATGTATTCCTTGGTGAATGAAGAATGTTGCATCTCTTTTTCTTTCTTTGACAACTGAAGGTCTTGTCTTGTCTCGGGCAGCGTAAACCTAATGAACACGATGACAGAATCACGAAATTATAGACAATCAGGCTGACAAGAGACAAGAGTGATAATCTTATAATCCTCTCTTTGCCAAAGGGAAATGGAATTCTAAGAGGCTAAGCAACTTGTCTTGGATCCAGCTAGAGCTGGAACCCAGGCTTCTATGCTCTCATCCTGGCCTTGTTCCCTTACCCATGTTCCCTGCCTGTGAGGCTGGATGTATACCCATCCCAGAACACAACCCTGGAAGGTGAGTTTTTACATATATTTTTATCTGTGTGTGTGAACGTGTGCATGTGAGTGTGTGTGTGTGTGTGTGTGTGTGTGTGTGTATTCATCTTGGATCCTAGAATGTAGCTTTTCAAAATACAGTGACTTGAAGATGCTGCTTAGCTATGCTCCTATTGCTCATAGTTTCAGTATAAATACATTTTACTGTAAACTCTTAATGTGAAATGTATGGATAAACCTGCTCAGCTTTAAAAGGTTGAGATGATGGAAACCAAACATATGAAGCAAGGCCCCAATCCCATAGACAGCCTCATGTTGTTTAATGGACACAGAGTTTCAGTTTGGGGAGATAAAACAACAACTACCCCGCTTTCCCTCCCCCAGCCCTGACACCTCCCCTATGTCCCATCTTTAAGAATTTGACTACCCTAAGAACCTCATATAAGTGGAGTCACACTCTGGCATACGACTGGCTTATTTCGCTTACCATGATATCCTCAAGGGTCATTCATGTAGCACGTGCCGGAATGTCCTTTCTTCTTAAGACTGATTATTACTCCACTTATTGTACATGTGTACACATGTTGTCTATCCCTTGATCTGTTGATGGACACTTGGGTTGCTTCCACCTTTTGGCTGTTGTGAACTCAACCCTTTGGTTTTAATTGCTTTGTGGAAATGGAAGACTCGATACTGGGGCGGGGTGAGGGCGACTGCTGCTTGGAATCTCCTGTGACTCCCATCAATAGATGGCACTGACAAGGGAGGGCAAGACCTAGCTTTAGAAAACAAGGCACTTTTTCTGTGCCTTTTCAAAGACCTATTTTGCTTCAACATGATGCATGATAGTCACAAGCTGGACCTGGCCCATTTCCCAAGGGCACTATGAACAGCCTCAAATCAGGACAAACATATAAGCATCAAAGAAATTAACTCTGTAAACTCTCAGGACCTCACCATCTTTGTGATCATAGCATGGCTTCAGGGTAGTGTTAGAGCAGGGTCTTTGCACACCGAGGGACTCTGGACACAAATTTTGGCTTTAATCTTAACTCCACCACCATCCCAGTTTCCCCAGTTATCACAATCCACTGCACACCTGAGAAGAGAGGTGCTCATCCTTTCATTCCCTGGAAGGTAAGACTTCCAGTGCAGTGTTTTCCTTCCTGCCCTCATTCATTCACTCGACAGTTGTTCATCGGCTGCCCATGATGTTGGAGGTGCGTACTCAGTGCTCCTGGAGGCTTGTTTTCACCACAGTGTTTTTCGTATCAGACACAAGCACCATCAGGTCCTCACCTACGAAAGACAGTGAATCTGCGTCAACTTCAGCCTCTTGTGGGTGTTGGGCTCCAAGATGGGAACCCAAGGCAAAGACCCTATAAAACTTAGTCACAACGGGCTGGCCGAGTGGTGCGTTGGCTAATAATTGGCTTGGGATGCCAGCTCTGAGCAGCAGAGCCCGGGGTTCGGATTCCACATGCGGCCCTGTGATGCTGCGCCCTCTACAGCTAAGATGGTGAAACACAGCTCAACCTGGAGCTGGGGGGCCGTGGGTTGTTGGGGTGGGGGGGCTGGCCAGCACCTGGTATGCACTTTTGTGAGCTGCTGTGAGCCACCGTGAGCAGCCATCCAATGGCCGGCGAGCAACTGCCTCACCCGGGAAGAGCGCAATGATAATATCAACATGGGCCAGTGAAGCAACGTCCTCCACAACTAGACTGAAGAACAAAAGGACAGCAACGTGTCTGTTCCCCTTCCCCGATTCCCCAGCGCTGTTCCCTTCCCCCAATTCCCCAAGAAAATCTTTTTTAAAAAAACCAACAAACATACAAACAAACAAAAACCTAGTCACAAGTATCTTTTGAGCGCCCTTTCAGTCACAGGCAACACAGCCTGCTTTTCCTCCACTGTTGAAATGGATTGCTGAATCCTTCAGCCACACTCTAGCTACATGCTCACTCTGAAGATATACTAAACAAAAGCCGTGTAGGAAGACACTGTTCAGTGGATAGTGCCCAACTAGTCTCTTTTCCCAGTAAAACCATACCAAGTAAAAAACCTTTTTTCAGAGACTGACGGGGATGCTGTGAACAGTTGCCTACTTACTGGCTGTGGAAGCAGAATGCCTGAGTGTGAACACCACTCTGAGATTTCTTAGCTGGGCGACCTGGGACAAGTTACTTAACCTTTCTGAGCCTTGGAGAGTCATAGTCTGAAAATGTGGATGACTAAAGTACCCAAATCATGGTTGCTGAGGATTAAATGTGTTAAAACTCGCAGAGCATTTAGAGTACTGTCTGGCAAATCGATCAATCGATTGATAAATAGGTTAAGAGCTAGACAGACACCGTAACAAAGGAAGATCTTTAAAATGATGTGCATTATTTAGGGATGTAATGAAGTTGTCTTTCTTGAATATATCTATAATAGGAGTTCCAAACTGCCCAGCTCAATATAGGTGAGATTCTTCTTGAGGAGATAATATTATAAGACCCACAGAGGCCGCAAGGAGGGGATTCCTTAAAGGGTAAGTGAGTGGGTAATAAAGGTGGCCACGTGACACCGCTATTGTGAATCCAGGGGCCCTCGAGACTCTGCTGAGGCCGATGATGGACTCTGACCAGGAGAAAGCTTTTAAAACATCAAGACAAAACAGATCATTTGATAGACTCTAATCCACTGTGATCAACATTTATTATCTTTGTTATCCATGGGGTTGTCCTAAGACATAACACACCACCCCCTAGTGATGAAAACACAGGAGTCTGGTGAAGTGGATGACATAGCCCACAGCGGGGATGGGGTGCCTGTGGGGCTGAAGAAATGTGGCACTGGAGGAATTAGACCCAATTTATCCCAAGAAGCTCATGTCCCTTAGTACAGAGTAGGAGCCTGGCACCATCCTCCTGAGATGATTACTAAGCAGTGCCTCTACCTCCACTTGTCCTGGAACCCTCTAACGACAGAATAGGTTCAGCAATTGCTTTGACACGTGCAATTTTTTTCTAGGCAGTGACACAAAAAGAATTGCCCAGAGAGGATCCTTGCTTGAAAAGTATTTCTGCTCATAGGCAGGAAATGTGGAGCACACGCATAAAGTTTCACCTCATGAATGTGGTTCATTTGCTCTTAAAATCTGCCATCCTCAAGCAGGCTCGTCAAAGCAGCTATCAGAGAGGCCAGAGAATGTAAATGGGCCTTTCAGATTCAACAGCGCCCTCCCTTCTCCCCCTCACAGAGCGGGTGCCTCTTCCTCCCCACTCCTTCTTGTTTCAGCCACAAAAGGAAACACACCGCCCTCCCCCTTCCTGTCCCCCCTTCACACTCATGGCCCGTGTTTGGGAGGGATGAAGCGTGGCCTCTATTTGCCAGGAAGATTGAGGAAGTGTCCAAAAATTGTACTTCCTCAATCTTAAACCAGGAGGAGTTTCAGCTGCAAAGGAGCCTCATTCCCATCGGCTTGGCTGTGTGACATACCACAGCCATCTGAGTCAAGGATCCCACTTTCCTTCCTGTTGAAGGCCCTTCTCATCACAGCTGGGGGGGGGGAGGGGGAGCTGATTTCTGCTATCGTGTCATAGGCTTGTTCCCCGTTGTGGCTACCAGACCAATCACTCATGCAATTCATTCATGCAGTTCATTCACTTGTGTTACTTTAACAAACATCTATTGATGACCTACTTATGGGCCAGACACTCTGCTAAGCTTTGGGGTCAACGATGAATCAGACAGAGTCCTGCCCCCAAGGTGCTCATAGTTCATGGCTTTATCACTGAGGTAGAAGGGTGGGCAGGGAGAAGGATGGCACATTCAAAGGAATCATTTGAGGGAAGATTAATGAGTGGACTATTTGCTGAGGATGTGCAGGGTTAAGGGAACCAGTGAGGGATGTTCAGGCTCCCCCCGCCCCCTGGTAGTAGCAGGGGAAGCCATCACTACCCCAGACCAAAGGGGCAAGAAATAGTGTCTCGGAGCCAGTGAGGACTAGAGCCCAGAAGAGGATTGTGTAGAGGGCACACTCCACAAGAGCGTACGCAATCAGAATCGTGTCTAGCGTAAGAGAATGATGGTGATGGTGGTGGGGTCGGGGTGAAATGCCTTGACCTCGCTCTCTTCCCATCTTTATCTCCCATGGCTGAACCCCACTTGTAGCCAGAGGACAAGAGAGAGCCCATGATGCAGGCCTAGAGTAGCATCTGGGACCCAGAATGGCCAGGGAAAGGTGGGTATGGGGGTGGGAGACTGAGTGTGCACACATTGAAATCCCAGCCGCGTGTACCACAGAGCACAGAGGGCAGGCTCAGTGGATCCACCTGCTGGGCATCACTGCCAGGAGCCACCCTCATACTGAAGCTGGTGCTGTGGCCAAGGCCCTTCATGATAGTCTGCAGATGTGAGCTGGCTGACTCCAGGAACCAAAATGAATCAGCAGTGCTGCGGTCACTCCAGGCTCGGGGACAGTCTGAACAAAGATGGGAGGAGCTGCCTTGGAACTGCCTCATAATCACCCACAGACTATGACATGGTCTTTCTACTTGAGCAATTTATAATCTCACTCGGGAGAGCAAAACTGCCCAGAAAAATAAGAAACAATTACACGGAAGGTGGCAGAAACTGAAAGCTATCAAGGTGGAGGGCCAGCAGCAAGCAACTTCACGGTGGCAAATGCAGCCCCTTCCTCTGCCTGGCAGGTAGGTGAGGCCACCACCAGTGGGTAATGACATCACAGTATTCTATTGTGCTGCTGGTAACCACCGCTCTTGGTGTGCATGCACAAACTCACGTGCACACAGGTGTGTGCATGCACATACACATGCACACAAGCATGTGCACAGATGCATGGATGCACACATGCACATGTGCGCACACACACAGATATGTGCATGCACAAATGCACACACACATGCACAGAGATGCATGCATGCACATACATATGCACACGTGTGCATACAGAGAAGAGTGTATGCACAATGCACATACGCATACATGCACAAAGAAATGTGTGCATGCACACGTGCATAAGTGCACACGTGCATACGTGCACACACACATTCACACACACACACAACATGTGATCTGTTTCCATGCTGTCTGATCATTCGTGACAGTTTCTTTGCTACAATGGACTCATGAAAACATGAGGGAGAGATGGAGAGATGGGAGACAGATTGTCATTGTTATTGGTACTGGGTATCCTTTTTCAGTAGCCATGCTTCTTCTGGGTTTTGGGTTAACTAAAAAAAGGAAACAAAGGCCTGTCTGCCCTGCTGAATTCTTAGTGGTTTTACTGAAAAGGCCATGGGAATTAGGGAACTAGGACATGAACGATTCCAACTTAGCTCAAAAATGGGCATCCTGATGAAGGCTTATACAAGAGGAAAACAGCTCCAAATAGTGATTTCCTCCCAGTTTCTACCTCTTCCACACCGGAAGGGCCATTTCTCATGATGGAGGGTGCAGAGGCCCATCAACAGTGGGGAGGGAGAGATCGGTTTGCCACCACTTTTCTTTCTCTGGGACACGTTTGCCTCTGGACGTCCCTTCCGTCTCCTCCTCCTGACATTTAGTTGGGTGTCAGCTCCTGGGCTCCTCCCCGTTCCAGAATTCCTGCCATGAGGCAGGTGTGAAAATCACACATACATTACTTGCCAGGTGTGATGGCTAAATATCCTAAGACCAAGGGATCATTGTGTGGATCTTTCTGACCAGTAGAGAATGTGGGAGCCTTGGAAACTAGCAGGGAGGAAACACTCACTAGAGCAGTGCCAACGTCAAGCCCAGAACACATCTTGGGTCTTATTTCAACCATCTTCAAAAGACAGCTGGAGAGTTCCACCACTGACAGAAAAGTCACCCGTAGGGTGGCTGCTCTGTGGCAGTCAGTCTATTGAAATGATGATCCCGGTATTTTGAAAGACGATTTTATTTGTGAAAATGCCTAAGGCTCCACCACATTTCTAAAAATAGCACATTTCCTTGGGCCTGTGTAAAAACTAAAAGACCAGGATTCAGGACAAGTTCAGAAGAATTCACAAAATACTGGAAAATGGTTGGTGGCTGTCAGTCATACACTTTCTTCCCATCTGCAAAAATGGATCTTGAAAGCCTGGCCAGTGAATTTTGTGCACAGGCCTATTATCAGCTGACATCTCAAATCTGGAGACAAGAGGACAGTTCCATACGCGACCCGACCCCATAGTCTGTGATGTCTCTGCTTTCCATCACCCCACCCACTCTTGCTTACTTCCTAATCTTGTTTATGTATGTCTTTATCTGAATTCACGCTGAGCCTCACA